GAGGGAGGGGGAGGAGGGAGGGCAGTGTGCACAGGTGTGGAGAGAGAGAACACGCTGACTCTGAGCCCTAAGGAGCCACTGTCCCCGGCTGGGGACTCAGGTGTCAGCAGCAGCTCCGCCGACCATGGCAGTGACGGCTCCCAGAGGGAGAGACCAGCTTTGAAGGGCTGCTGCCCTCGGGGCTGGCGGCCACCACGGGACTCCGCAGCCGCCTCCAGCCAGCCGAGCCGACCATCAGGCCACCCCCTGGTGCCTCCTGTGGCGCCGGCCCTTACCTCCCAGGCAGGCCCCGAAGGCCAGCGCGTACATGAGCGGAGGTGCAGGCAGGCTGACCTCGGGGTCTCGGCTCAGGTTCAACAGCACGGGGACCTGCGGAGGGAAGGACAGGGCCGTCACAGCCAGGCAGGCCCCGAGGTGGCCTGGCCATGACCTACAGGAGACAACGATGTCCCACCATCCAGGTGTCAGAGTCCCGGGTGGTTTGAAGGGGAACCGCAGGGAACGTGGGATGCACACGACCTTGATTTTGAGCCCACCGTCCCTCCGTTTCCTGCCACATGACCGAGTGGCCATCCCTGCTGTGGGTGTCAAACAGGCAATGTCACATGAGCCTCCCACAGCACGAGGGCCGGACCCTGACCCAAGCCCGGAGGCCACGCACCCCGGGCACGCGTGTCACCCGCTGTCTTGGGTGGGGACTCAGGCCTCGTTCCAGCATTGGGGCGGGAATCGGAACATGGCTCCAACTGCGCGGTGCACGGCAACGAGCCTGCGCCACCGCTGTGACCACGTGCTGTGACCACGTGGCTCTGGCGGTCAGCCTGCCCCTGCTGACGGCCCTCACCTGACAGGTGCCAGGCAGCCCCCGGGAAGCCACATGGGCAGCTAGGGCCCCCGTCATCGAGGGACCGCGTGGTGCCCGAGAAGCTGCGCCAAGACACCTGTGTGGCGAAGGCACGCCCTCCCTGGGGGGTCCCGTCGCCAGCGCAGGACAAAGGACCGCGACGCCACCTGCTTCCAGCACTCTCGGCTGTCACTGGAGACCCTTCAGGGACCCAATCTGCCACCTGGGGTGGCGACATGTGTGAGCCTCTCTACAGAGAGGGAACCAGCGTGGACTTAGGTGAGCGTGACGTCATTTGCTGTGGAGAATGAGGGGACGCAGAGCCATGATCCTGTCACCATGGTCACTCCGGTTTATTTGGGAGCACGGTAGGACTGCACGCCCAGCCCGCGGTGGCCTCCAGTGGGATGCGTGGACCCGATGCCCCAGCCGCGGACCCTGTGTGGCTGGCACCTGCCGTGACGTGCGCCTGAAGGGCTAGAGGGCCTGCGTCGCTGCCAGCCTGTCTGCGGCCTCAGGCCCGGCCATGACAGGAGCCAGCCTGGGCGGCTGCCCCCTATGCGGTCCCCAGGGGGAGAGGGTGCGCGGGGGTTTTTTTGGGAGAGGGTGCGCGGGGGGCTCTGGGCCGGGTGACACAGAGCCCCGTCCGGCGGCTGTCACAGAGGCAGCGTCAGAGCCGCAGTGATCGCTCTCGGAGGGGCAGGCGCAGTGCAATCGTCACAGCGCCCAGTCCTCGGCGAGCAGAGCAAAGGCGCCCGCAGCCACTGTCCCGCAGGCCGGCCCCCGCCCTGAGGGACCCCACGTGCCGACCGGCTCAAAGACGCAGGCCCGGACAGCTGAGCCCGGCTTCCTGCTCGGAAGGCGCGGCCTGCCTGCTTGTCACACAGGGGCACGTGGCTGCACCCTACGCCGACCAGAGGCGACGTCAGGACACAGCAGGAAGGGGCACGTCAGCCCGGAAACGGCCACCAACGTGCCCCGAGCTCCCCCGGGCTGGGACCACCTGGAGGACTCCGGTTCCCATGCTGGCCGAGCGCCAGAAGCCACGCGAGCTGGACGGAGCGGTGACCCCACTTCCTTCCAGCAGCAAAGCCGCCTTCCCCGAGGGGCCCCGGCCCGGCCGACGCGCCGCAGCCACGTCTGCCCGTCAGGCTGCGTGCGGCCAGGACACTGCCCGCCCCGGCCCTGGGCAGGAGGGTGGGCAGCTCGTGCCGCCAGGGGCCGTGCGACTCACCATGGTGGCTGTGAACGGGATGTTGTCGATCAGCGACGACGCGGTGGCCGACACCCAGAGCACCAGCACGATGGCGGCGGCCAGGCGCCGGTCCTCAGGGACCATCTGGGAGGGGCAGACAGAGCAGCACCACGTGACACCGCTGCATTGAGCCACACGCGCCCGGTCTAGCCCGCGGCCCGGACGCAAGGCCCATCACCTGTCCTGACCCATGAGGACACCCGGGGGGCCGGGCGCATTCCCAGACACACCCACATCACCCGGCCACGGGAAGGGGAGCAGCAACGTCCTTTCTGGTGGCGGCACACACGGTCACGGCGACCTGCCCTCAGGCAGAGCCCTGGGGGCTCTCGCTGTCACTCGTTTTCACCAGGGGCCTACAGATCACGGGCCCTGTGGTTACGGGGTCTCTGGGAGCACTGTCATCTCCAGGCCCCCAAAATAGGTCCCCGCTGTACTTTTTACCTAATTAACGTGACCTGTTCTTGACACACTTTTTTTTTTAAACAAAACCAGAGGAACGGTAGCTGGAGCTTGTTATCGAGCAGCGTGTCGCGTACCTTTATGAGCGACGTCGTCTGTTCTCCGACGTACTCTATCAGGTGGAGGTGTGCCAGCGCCTGGAAGAGACGGACGAGCGATGGGAACCCCGCCACACTGAGAACACACGCACGTTTCTCAACCATGCCGTTCGATGGAAGTGAGCGAACGTGAGCGGGGCGCGGGCGCCCACTCCTCATTGTCAGAAGACACCCAAGGACCCGGTCCGTAAACATCGGCGGTCCCGGGGGCACGGCGAAGGCTCCCGGGAGCAAGCACGAAGCGCGGCAGCAGACGCGGGAGCGTCCAGGGGCTGGGCTCACGTGCAGGTCAAGTTCGAAGCTGAACGGAGGGCCCCTCTCTGGGACCACAGGAGAGGGCCCTGCGCACGGGTCACTCAGGCAGGTGCCGGCACACTCCTTTTTAAGTTAAACATCACAGCGTTTCAGAAGAATGGGAAGAAAACGTGTGGTTCACGTAACCGTCACAGGAAGGAAGGAAAGGTCTGTTTTCTCAGCGTCGGGCGGATCCGGAGGGCCGCGTCCAGGGAGCAGCAGGAGGACCGGGACGGGGCTGGTCTGCTCAGGCCGTGCCCCCCGTCCCACCCTGTCCTGACCCCAGGGACCCTGGAGAGGAAGCACCAGGAGGGAACCAACTGTGGGGTCACACGGCTGCCCAGCACCTCTCGAATGTGGCCTTTTCGCGGTGACGATGTTGCCGAGCGGGACGTAAAATGGACATCGGTCTGACCCCGTCTGCGTGTGGGCCGGAACCCTGCCCGTCTTGCGTCGAGTTGTCTGCTCGCCGTCACTTAAAGCTGGGGAGCCCGGCACTGGGCGATCACAACTCTGTCAGATAGTGGTATTGCTGAATTTCAGGACATTGGGGTTTTCTCAGAGATCTGATTTAGACTGGCTGTGGTCACGAGTGGCGGGTCCAGGCCATACTTCCTGTGACAGCCTGGGACTGTCCCACACGAGCACGGCTCAGCGGTCAGGGACCCGTGCAGAGGGCCAGGTCCAGCCGCGAGCTCTAAGTCCCGACACGCTGCTTCGTGCCATCCAGCCAGAGGCGTGTGTGGGTGGTTCTGACCTCAGACGGTGCCCCAGGCCTTTGCCAGGCTGAGTGGGGTCCGTCCCACGCGGGAGCTGTTCAGATATTAAGCTGAGACTGGTGCCAGTTCCTGCACAGAAGTGGGGGACAGTTCCTGAGGCCCACAGGGGCCACTGTCCCTGGGTCTCTGGACGGAGAGATGGGGAGAGCAGCCCTCCATGCCGCCGGGCCGCCCCTGCCAGAAGCCTGGCCTGAACGGAAGTCCAGGAGAGAGAAAAACGGAAGAACCACCCTGGAGGGGGTCGCTTCTCGGGGTGCTGGCTCCCCCACGATCTGTCTGCTCTGGTTTATTTTTCAGAAGCCACGGATGGTTGACTCTGTATTTGGTCCAATGCTCTAGCTGCGGTCAGCGGGAGGAATGGGCCTTAGTGGGCTGGCTCCTTGTAGCAGAACCGACGCTGGACTTTCTTATCCTGACACCCTATAAGAGTCCTCCTCGGCTAACTTCCAGACTGAAGAACAGATTGAGTGTGTTACTCTCCCGGGCCGAATCCTCCCTGTTTGACCTGTCCACCCGTCGCCTCCACCGGGGACCTGGGCAGGAGCACAGGCAGGGCCTCGTGTCCCCTCGAGCCCTCAATGGGGTAAGACGGGTCGGCATGAGTCGCATGGCGACTCTGGATAAGGAGGGGAGGGCGCAGACGGCCGGCAGGGGGCGCACCGCGTCTCCGTGAGCGGCAGCCGGGCACGGCGGGCGCAGACGTGTCGGCGTTCGCGAAGCCGGTGGAAAGCACCGTGCTCTCTGCTCTGCTCTTCCCGGCTGCTTTCTCCTCCTCCGAGACGTCCTAACTTACGTTCGGATGGTCTCCATCAAAACCTGACCTGAGCGAAAAACTCCGATTTTCAAAACCTCTAAAACGTAGTGAAAGTTCTTACACGTTCGACGGCTGCTACGGCCGTTTGCACGAACATTTGGAATTCGTTACACTGGAACGTCTCATGCTGCTCCCGCACGTGGGAATCAGAAACCCGTCTGCGGCACCGATCATTTAAAAACTAACCCTATCTAGAAGTAGCTGGAAAAACACCAAATTCAAAGAATAAAATTAATTTATTTTTGGTTAAGTGTTTTTCACAGATAGTGCTGCGTTTGCCTGTGTTCTCACTTGGGGAGTTTTCTTTTTTTTAAGGCGAGAATGAGGAGCCCTTGGTGTTTTTGAACTTGTAAACAAAACCCACTGGTGGTCAGTCTGCGGCTCGGCGAAGCATGGAAGGCGACTCTCTTTCCCAGCGAATGAGTGACCCTCCGCTCCCTGCAATCTGTTGTTTCTCGGGGCTCATATCCCCACTGCTCATGAATAAAGGTAACTCAGACCCGAAAGTAACTTACACGAGAAGATGAGGATCGCCCAGCAGAATCTGCGAGGCTGCAGCGGCACCCGGTCTGGAGTTTGGCTTCAGTTCACATGAAATTATTACATGCGACCTACAGATCAGACCCCGCAGCCCGCCTAGTGTTAGCGCTGTGATCATTTTCCACGACACAGGCTTGGCCCGGCTACAGATGTCCCACTGGCAGAGACGCGAGTCACTCCAGACACGAGGGACCCTTTCCAGCCACCCCCGCCCCAGACACCCGGAGAAGGAGGCGGATACGAAGCACCGACGTGCCCGCACGGAGGACGTGTCCTCGGGAGCGAGAAACCACCGAAGCTCCCCAACACCGCCAGAAAACCGCCAACTTAGTTTTTCTCCTTCTTCTCAAGTAAGGATTCTGATAAAAACATTCTCACAAGCAGGTCTGTTGACCGACTGGCGGTGCTTCCCTTTCAGAAGCTGGCAACTCCAGCAGCCGAGGACAAGGACAGTGACAGAACTGCCCGCCCCTCGAAGCTCCCTCCCCAAAGGTGAGAAAAACAGCAGGGGATGTAAACCGCACCTGCACCAGGCCTCCCACGCAGCCTGCAGACCGCGCCTGCGCCAGGCCTTCCACGCAGCCTGCAGGCCGCGCCCGCGCCAGGCCTTCCACGCAGCCTGCAGACCGCGCCCGCGCCAGGCCTTCCACACAGCCTGCAGGCCACGGCCAAAGTGGGGACACCTGGACATCCAGAGAGAACAGAGCACAACCCAGGCGCCCGGCGCCCAGGGCCGGACCGCAAGGGGGACTGGGGACACGAGTGGTGGCCGGGGCACACGCGGCCGTTGTGGGGATGCCCCGCTTTCGGGGAGGGGAGGACAGAGAGGAAGGGCCCAGCTGTTTTCTGGTTACTGCAGGGAGGCCGCCTGGCAGCCTGCACGTCTCACGTACCCCAACTTTGCTCTGCAGCAGGAGGGGGCGCCCCTGACCAGGACTTGCTTAAAAACACAAGCACACCCAACGGGATTACATCGCAGGAGAAAAACGCAGTCATGCAGACACAGCCCGTGAGAAAACATCGGAGACTGAACCTTCACACGCACTGACTGGGGAGGACCCCCGCCCTCCCCGCACCTCCCGCGCCCCCGAAGCGGAATAAAGCCGCCAGGCCACACTTCACACTCAATGACAGACGCTCAGGCGGGCGCCTAAAAACACGAGCACCCACCGTAAAACCAGAAATCCAAAAACAACACAGAAAAGAGCAAATAGATACAGACAAAGCACCTGACAAAACCCAATATGCACGTGTGATTTAAATCACAGCTACGAATATATACTGGAGCTTTATCGATCTGATAGAGGCTTCTATAAAAAATCCCGCAGCTAACATTATGTGTAAGGGTTAAAAACTGAATGCTTTTTCTCCAAGATCAAGAACAAAGTGTGCACGCCCACGGTCCCCACTGCTAGTCAACATCAAACTGGGGGTGCTAACCAGCAAGAGAAGAAAAAAAGAGAGAAAGACAAACAGGAAGATGGTTGGGAGAGAGAGCGTGTGAGCCAGGTAGAAGCATCCAGAAAAGGAAGAAATTAAAATCTTTATTTGCAGATGACATAAAAGAAAATTCTAAAGAATCCAAAAATAACTACTAGATTAGTAACAGCACAGCAAGATCAGAGGGCATCCAGCAATATAAAAATTGAATTGTATTTCTATATAATGGCAACGTCCACTTAGAACCTAAAATTAAGAAAACAATCGGGCTCAAAATACCATCAGAAAGAGTATAGGAGTCACAAATTTAACATAAGAAATGCAAAACTTACACCACATTTTTACAAATCACCCATTGGAACATATCGTCAAGAAAATGAAAAGAAAGTCAAAGGCTGGGAGGACATACGTGCAGATCACGAAACCGACGAAGAATTTGTGTCCAGAACATGTAAAGAACTCACATAACTCAATAAAAAGCAAACAACCCAAATGAAAAATGGTTAAAAAAATCCGAATAGAAAGTCACCGAAGGAGCTACAGAAGCGGCTGCTAACGTGGAAGGCGCTGGCCACCAGGAGCAGACAGCACGTCACACCCCCAGGAAGGTCCAGGCGGGAAGAAGGCAACGGCTGCTGGAGACAATGTGGAGACCCGGGGACCCCGCCGCACGGCCGGGGGCTGGCGGGCGACATTCTGGCAGCTTCTTCAGAAGCTAAACTTGTCATGAGGCCCAGCGTCTACCCAAAAGAAATGAAAACACATAGTCACACAAAGACTCCACCCCAAAGGCACAACACGAACGTCCGTCAACCAGCGAACGAGGAATAAAAGGCAGAGTGTCCACAGTGCGGTGCCCTCGGCAGCGGCCCGCGGCGCTGAGACACCAGGACACGGGATCCTGGACGTCGCTGCTCCGGTTTTAGAGCAGACAGAAAAGACGACAGAGCGCGATTCCTCGCAGTCGACGTGCACAGGCAAGGGCGATCGATGAACGGGAAGAAGGTTCGCGATCCCGGAGGCAGCGCTGGGGCTGGAACGCACTGTACTGGGTGCGAGGGGTCCGCGGAGTGACGGAAATGTTCCCAATTTACTAAAAATCGTGGAAACTTATGATGGGTGAATTCTAGAATATGCAAATTGTATCTCAATGGAGTTGTTTTTAAACGTCCAGTGTTTACCGCCCCTCCCCGCCCCACCGACGCAAAGTGAAGTGTAAAGTTGAGAAAAACACTTTGAGAACGAACTGAGCCAGCAGTTTACACCCAGTGTAAACGTGTAACTGGGGCGGGGACTTCCACAGGCCCGTCCGTGTGCCGCGTGTCGGTGCAGAAGCAGCACGTGTCTGAGCGGGGACGCAGACACGGCTGCCTGCCGGCCACACACATTCCATCATGAGTAAACACACAGGCTTCAAAGATTCAAAGGACCTGTCTTGAAAACGATTAGAAAAAAACAGCGTCAAGATTTTAACCCAGGGGAGAATGAAGAACGGACGGGTCTGCGATCGGCGAGCCGAGGAGACTCGGGGAGACGTCGGCACGCTTGAGGGGTCCCCGAGGACACCAGCGTGTTTCTACGTCCGTGGAACCTTGTACTTCAGGAAGACACAAGTTTACAAATCAAGTCTCAAGGTTGAAAAGTTCTGTGAATGATTTTGTAACGACTATAACTAAGACATACCATTCACTCTTCTCTCTGAGGTCTTCCTTTCCATGATAACATAGACTGTTTGGTTAAACATTACAAAAAGTAAAACAGATCGAGATCTACCCTACGAACTTGCTATAGCAAGTCATTTTGCTCCAAACCAAACTGAGCAAATTCTACTTTATAGCAAATGAATTTTGAACAAGTTTACAAACCCCAAAGATAATTCAAGGAAAAAAAAAATGGCGACCAAGTAAACAATTTTATCAGGAACACTGAGGCTGGTTATCTTGAGATAAAAGCTGGTTTAACTTAAAATAGTCTAATTACGACCTCCATCATTTCCCACTGGGGGAATCTGTGGAAAGCCTGACAGACTCAGGCTTTCTTTGTTCAGTAAATAAATCGTGAAACGTAAACACTGGCCGAGAGGTCACGCCGCAGGAGCTCTGAGGTCTCACCTCCATCAGGACGAAGAGCGCAGCGAAGAACAGAAGCGTCGCCCACTCCACTCGGTGCAGAACGATCTCGAACTCATGGATGTCGGCCAAGATCAGCAACCAGATGGCGCCCAGAACAGCGATCCACCCTGGGGAACGAGAAATGCGTGTGCGGATGCGCTTCCGTCGTTAGCACATAGATCCGTTTTTCACCTTCTGACTGCTCTTTTCCTTACTGAGGATAACTCATGCTGAAAACTGAACATATTTGCAATTTATATTTGGGCAGGGTCTATGCCCCTGAAACCAACACTAACTACGATCGAGATAATGAGCTTCAACACCGAACTGACACCAACGGACGGATCTTCCAGACAGAAAATCAACAAGGACACAGCGGCCTTAATTGATACGCAAGACCAGATGGATTTAATTGACATCTTTAGAGCATTGGAACCCAAAGCAGCAGAATATACATTCTTTTCAAGTGCACATGGAACCTTCTCCAAGACAGACCATATGTCAGACCACAAGTCTCAGTTCATTTAAGAAAACTGAAATCATATCCGACCACAATAATATGAAACGAGACGTCAATTCCAAGAAATAAACTGAAAAACACACAAACACGTGGAGGCTAAATAACATGCCAGTAAACAATGAATGAGTTGACAATGAGATCGAGGAAAAAATCAAGAACGATACCTTGAGACGAATAGAAATGAAAACACAGTGACCCAAAAATCTACGGGACACAGCAAAAGCAGTCCTAAGAGAGAAATTCATAGCAATACAAGACTAACTCAAGAAACAAGAAAAATCTCAAATAAACAACCTAATCTTACACCCACAGGAACTAGGAAAAGAACAGCAAACAAAGCCCAAAGCAAGTGGAAGGAAGGAATAAACATCGGAGCAGAAATAAACGAAATTGAGTGTAAAAAATAAACAATATAAAAGATGGACAAAACCAAAAACAGATTCTTTGAAAAGATAAAACTGATAAACTTTTAACCAGACTCGAGAGAGAGAGAACGCAGATAAATAAAATCAGAAATTAAAGAGAAGTGACAACGATTACCACAGAAATACAAAAGATCGTAAGTAAACACTAAGAACAACTATTTGCCAACAAATTGGACAACCTAGAAGAAATGGACACATTCCTAGAAACATACAATCTTCCAAGAGTGAATCAAGAAGAAACAGAAAATCTAAACCAACCAATTACTAACAAAATCAAATAAGTTAAATAAATAAATTAGTAAATAATAAATAATAAAATTCCCAACAAACAAAAGTCCTGGACCAGACAGCTTCACAGGTGAATTTTACCAAATATTCAAAGAAGAATTAATACCTATCCTTCTCAAACTATTCTAAAAAATTCAGGAGGAGGGAAAACTCCCAAACTCATTTTATGAGGCCACCGTTCCCGATTCCAAAGCCAGACAAAGACATTACAAAAGCAGAAAATTGTAGGCCAATGTCCCTGATGAACATAGATGCAAAAATCCTCGACAAAGTATGAGCAAACTAAATTCAGCAAAACGTTAAAAACATCATACGCCACGATCGAGTGGAATTTATTCCTGGGATGCACGGCTGGTTCAATGTGTGCGAATCAATTAAGGTGACACACCACATTAGCAAAAGAACAAAAATCATACGATGACATCGATAGAGGCAGAGGAAGCATGTGACAAAATCTAACATGCATTTATGATAAAAACTCTCACCAAAGTGGGAACAGAGGGAACGCACCTCGACACAATGAAGGCCACGTAGGACAAACCACGGCCCACACCACACTCAATGGAGAAAGGCTAAAAGCGTTTTTCTTAAGATCAGGAATGAGACACGGATGCCCACCTTCACCTCTCTGTTCAACACAGTATTGGAAATCCCAGCCACAGCAATCAGGCGAGAAAGAGAAATAAAAGGCATCCAAATTAGAAAGAAAGTAAAACTGACATTATTTGCGGATGACATGACACTGTAGAGAATCCTAAAGATTCTGCCAAAAAATATGTTAGAACCGACAAATGAATTCAGTAAAATAGCACGATACGAAATTAATATTCAGAAATTGGTTGTACTTTTATACACCAGCGTGGGTCCCGGGCCTGGCTATGATCCAAGCCCACGGGCAGGAATAGGACCCCGGATTTAGAATGTTTCATTAGTATATCAGGGCGCCTACGCCTAACACATGTAAACACTAATTCGGCTTATTGTATCACGCGTGTGCGGCTGAATGCCACCATCGTACTGATACATGTGCAGCCATGCGGTCCCCTGCGGAGCAGAAGGGAGCAGAAGCAGAAGCGTGCTCCCCGCAACAGAACTGCGTGCTCCCCGCAATAAAGCTGGTGCCGCCGTCTCATTCTCCCGTGGGCCCCTCGTGCGTTCTTCCAACTGAGCGCCTCACCACCGAGACGCCGTCCCCATCAGCTCGGCGCTGACAGCCGATAAGGAACGATCAGAAAGAGAAACTAAGAAAATAATTTCCTCTATAATCGCATCAAAAAATAAATACCTAGGTATAAATGTAACCTAGGAGGTAAAAGACCTGCACTCAGAAAATTATAAGACGTTAAAGAAAGATACTGAAGGAGATGTAAATAGACAGAGGCATGTCCCGTGCTCGTGGACAGGAAGAGTCAACATCGTTAAAATGGCCACACTACCCGAAGCAATCTGCTGATGCGGTGCAATCCCTATCGGAATACCAATGGCATTTTTCATAGAACTACAACAAACAATCCTAAATGTATACGGAACCACAAAAACTCCCAAACCGCCACGGCAGTCCTGAGGAAGGACCAAGGTGGAGATGTGCTCCTGATGTCAAACGAGACTACAAAGCCGCAGTCCCCAGACAGCACGGCGCCGGCATAAAAACAGACACGCAGATCCACGGGACAGCACAGAGCGCGGCAATAAACCCACGGCCGCCAGCTCGTTTCATCTATGACGGAGGACGGAAAAACATGCTATGGGGTAAAGGCGGCCTCGTCAATAAACGGAGTTGGAAAAACTGGACGGACAGACGTAAAAGAAAGGAAACTGGACCCCCCTTCCTACACCGCATCCAAGGATAAGCTCGACATGGAGTCCAGACTTAAATGTAAGAGCCGAAACCACAGCTCTCCCAAGAACCCGCAGGCGGTGACCTCCGATGCCGTGACCTCCGCAGGGGGCTGGGGACAGCGGGCGGTGGGGGGAGGTGA